TATATATATATATATATATATATATATATATATATATATACATATATATATATATATATATATATATATATATATATATATATATATATATACATATATATATATATATATATATATATATATATATATATATATATATATATATATATATATATATATATATATATATATATATGAACCGTATTCATGTCGACGAATGTAGAAAAGGTATGAATGAGAATGAGTATCTTCACAATACAAGAGATGTATTTGACCGGTTTCGAATTATATCTTCGTCAGAAATACATGATATATATATATATATATATATATATATATATATATATATATATATATATATATATATATATATGTATGTATGTATCTATCTATCTATCTATCTATCTATCTATATATATATATATATATATATATATATATATATATATATATATATCTATATATATATATACACACACACACACATACGCACACACACACATATATATATATATATATATATATATATATATATATATATATATATATATATATATATATATATATATGTATGTATGTATGCGTGCATGTGAACATAATATACATGTGACAAACATGTAATATTATATAAATTATATAGAATATAACAATTGATATTAGAACAGATTAAATATTTCAGTGATGTGACACAGTATAGTTTGGTTACCGCGAGAGCCCATACTTCCCGTAGGATAGGAAGTAGGCGGCAGCAGGAGATAGTGACGGGCGGCCAAGCAGGAGCAGGTGATATCATTCAGCGGAAGAAAGAGCTGGATAAGCTAGTGTAACAGGTTGTTGTAGATTATATTGTATATGTATATTCATGGTACGCATTAAGAAGCTTGGAGTAAAATGGTATGCCTATATACACCACATAATATAATAACGTTTATACACAGACTCGCACCTACAAGCACCCTATTTCTGACAAACACACGCACGCACCCACGGTCAAATATAGTCATACCTTTTCATAGATAGATTGATATAGATAGATTTAAATAGAAAAAGGCACAGATAGATAGATATAGACAGATGCAGAGAGATACGAATAGATAGATAGATTGATAGATAGATATAGACAGATGCAGAGAGATACGAATAGATAGATAGGTTGATTGATAGATAGATACATAAAGATCAATAGATAGATGTAGATATATATACAGATAAACAGATATAGATAAATCGATATAGACAGATAGATACATAGTGATGAATAAATAGATATACATACTTATTAAGATATTTACAGATAGATAGATATGCACATTAAGAAAAATAAACAGGTATGTAGATAGATAGATAAGTAGAGAAAGAATATCGTAGAAGTTTGCTCAAGAAAAGCGCCAGTGACGGGCCTAGGAAGATGGGAGTCCCCTGGTGTTGCCAAGGTTCCTCGTGTTTATCTTGTCAATTTGAATTCCACCATTGATAATATTTAGTATATGATGCAAAATAGCAAATCTTGACATGGAATAAGAAGTGTTAAGCGCCACGCCCTAGGAAATCCGTGACTAAATATCGCTCCCTTTATTAAATAATGCATATAAATGTGGGGATGTGTATAGGCTTATGTGTGTGTTCATAAGCATGCCTGTTTAAATGTATCTTCGCTGTCTCATCAGACACTGGTACTGGATGTCAGTGTTTGAAGAAAATCTTTTTGGTTATTTTTAGGATTTGCTCTCAATGTGGCTGACGAAGATATTACGATTTTCTTTTGTCTAAATAGAGTCACGGTTCTTGGTTCTGATTTCTCATTTCTTGTCCTTTAAATTCATCATCCATTGTCAAATATTAAAATGGAGATATCTATATATTAGATGATAAATAAGACATATAAGAGAGACAGAAAGATAGGTAGATGACAGATAAATAGACAGAGAATCGAAGCCTTGCTACGCTATTAATGAATGGTAAGAAAAATTAAGATAATCATTTTAGAACAGATATAGTGTAAAAGGATAGGCTGGTGCGTTTTAAGACATTTTTCGTCCTTTAAAAAAGATCTGTCACTAAATGAAATCGTTATTTGATGTATAGAAAACGCGACGCAATAGAAAACGGGAACGGACTAGTGTTGATCTCGGCAAGTGATGTATATAGCGATAAGTTGACGAATTCCATTTATATAATAGAATAGACAAAACAGGGAATGCGTTATGTGTACGTTGTTTAAGAGTTTATTTAGGCTAGGCTTTAGTTTTGCAAACTCAAAAGGGGGCCTTGAACTTTTTTCTTTCAAATCTGAAATTACCAACATTGCTTGATAAAGCATGAATATGGGGGGGGGGGGGCGAAAAGACGCAAACTTCAAAGGGAAGGGATTCAGTGGCCCTTACTCCTCTCTGTGACATTCGTGTCTGTCTCTTTCTTTCTTATCTCTCTTCCTGATGTTACGTAGATAATTTTCTAAGCCGCATTGAGGTTCCAGCGATATTTGGTGTTCGATTTACAAACACACACACACACACACACA